CCTACTTTGCAGATTTTAATCAGTTTTACCACGGCGTGTGAAGTAAATGACAGAAGCACCTTTAAAATGAGGATTGGATGAGAAGGAAGAAGCAGAGGTGCGTGGGCAGAGAGCAGTGCCTGGCTTCTGGGGGAAGAATAAGGTAGTGTCTGCAAGGTACCAGGGTGCAGGAAGGACCTGCGTTCTTGCTGCTCATTTAGCGAATTGAGGAGTGGTTATGGAAGTCCTAATGCAACATGTCTCCGTGAAATATGTCCTCGTTCTCTCTGGTAAATGGGATCTTTGCTGTCAGCACTGGGCGCTTCCCGGGAGGGCAGTGGCTGGCATCTGGGCTGAGACTGCTGGAGGATTTCGGAGCACTACCTTTCCACTTCTGTTGTAACAATTACGGGAAGCCGGTTTAGCTCCACTGTGCTTAAAAAGAGGTTTCTTTGTGTTGACAGCGTGCTTACTGATGAGGTGTCAGTCCCCGTTTTAGGTAGATATGCTAGAGAACTGAAGACAATTGAGGATTGTGATGGCAAAATCCAGTGCACTGCTGAGTCCTCACGGCTAGCTGACAGTTGATAAATACCTGGAAATACTCTACATTCTTCTTATTACCTTTATTAATATTAATATATGCTAAGGGAGCACCAGCAAAACGAACTACAGGTACAGTTGAACATTTGTGCAGTTTTCATAAATAGTGGAAGCAGTGACATTAAACATATGCAGGAATCCCCATAGTTATAAATATTTACAAATATTTATTTTGGCAAGAGCACCTAATTCAGATGTTCCTAGCTGCACTCCCTAATACAGTGTGCATATCTGTCACACGCTATGCTCCTCAAATTGATAGTTGAATTAGTCGGAATGCAAGGGATTTCCCTTGGTGTATCACTTTGTGTTTCACAAATACTTACATTTCATTACAGCTGGGGCAAAAACACACGGCTCCAGCTCTACACAATTAACACACGGGCGTTGTGGAGTTGATGTTGATTCGTTTGCCAGCAAGAGAGATCTAATGTGTTACTTTGTATACGAGCACCATCTCACTCGGTAATTAATCATCCTTATCAGAGCCACCTAAGCGTCTCTTGGTATGCCGTGAATTGCAGTTCAAGAGATGCTTATGAATTCCGAACTCGGGCACTTTCCATAAGACCTGAGCGTGGGAGATTACGTCCCACTCAGATGCAACTCGGAAACATTTTCCCTTTAGATGTCAGTAGGCTTTTTTTCCTTTTCCACTGAGCTTGTCAAGGGAAGGTTAAATGCCAGACGAAGCCCACAATGTGTGGGTGTTACTTGGCAGAAGAAGTTTAGACAGAGGAGGGGGGTAAGACCGTGCTGCAGTTGACCACACACGGGTCTGAATGCTCGCTACCTGTTAAAATTGGCCTCGATTGCTTTAACCGAAGCAGAAGCTGCTATTTTTCTGAAGTTTCAGTTTATTTTGTGCATGGGACAGCTTTTTGTATGTTACCAGATTTCCTGCTTCTCCTGTTAGTCAGTCGGTGGTGGGTTCTCTTCCCCCTTATGGGTCTTTTTTCACAGAGCATCAGTAGAAAAACACGTTTTTAAATAAGAAAATTAAATTGTAAAACACCTCCCCGCCCAAACAAAACTGGGATGCAGTCTAGTGTCAACCGCGTTTTAAAGCTTATGGTTTTAAAGCGAAGAAAGGCCTTTTTACACAGAAAACTGTGATTTAATGTGATAGTTATATTCCCTCTGACTCTGTTATAAGAAGATGGGTATCAGTAGCAGCAAGGATGAGCAATGCAAGCCTCACCTTGGGTCAGCACCCCAAATTCTTCTCCGGGGTCCTTGGAGTGGTTGTAAAACCTGGATGCATTCTGTGGAGCAGGATCGTCTGAGCCGGTGAGCCGGTCAAGGCACCGCATCGCCGGCACCCTTGCTTTTTGCCGAGCCTGTGCCATATATTTCCTGTCAAATACTGTCTGGGGGGTTTGTTTTCAGCCCTAAGCTTGGAGAAATATTCCTGCCGTAAGAAGACATCGCTGTTCAGACAGAGCACCTGAATGGCTTTTCTTTAGTCATTTTCTGAGGCTACAGCAGACACCAACAAAGTGATTTCTTTTTGCTTTTCGTGGACTGGATTGGAGAGGTTGCTTTGTTATTTTTATTTTTATTTTTTCAACTCTTGAAAAGATTTGAAAACTATATTAAGAATAGGTTTTGTGGAAACTGGGGTCAAAATCATCGGAAACAATACATCTCTAATGAAACTTCTATAAGCCATCCAGCTACAAATTGGTCTTTTCATTTACATTTCACTGCAGATGTCAATGAAAGCACAGTTCCTTCTAAAGCATCCTAATGTATGTAAACCATTGCAGGAAGCATAGCACGCAAAGCTTAGGAGACTGCAGATGGAGAGAAAAGGCTCCTGATTTCATAAAAATAACAAAACCTGTTTTAACATATTGTGCATTAAATATTGTTCATTTGCATACTTTCTATGGCTAGGTTATAAAAGCCCACCATGTGGTGGACTTGTTGGAAGTCTGAAAAGATACTCTTTCTCCAAATGGAGATGTGTTAGTAGAAGCTGCTGCTTAATTATAAAACAAAAATAACTAGTTTTCTGTAGGTTTTTTTGTTGTGGGGTTTTTATGGTGTTGTTTTTTCCTTTTCTAGGTTTTTAGAGTCTGGGGTTTTTGTTGTTTACGTAAAATTCAATAGAATTAGGAAGGGAAACATAGGTGCAATCGCCGCAAATTCTGCTAACCGGGGTTTGGTGTTTTACAACAGTCTGCCTGCTTGGAACCGGCGGCAGCAGGGACTCCTCCATCAAGGGTTTCCAGCAGATAGCCAGGCAGATTGTAAAGTACCTCTTGCATTATTTTTTTGCATCTTTATATAGAACGGTATAATTTTATGTGTATCGTCTATAGTATATCCATGACTGAAGCGTCGGATAGTATAAATGTACGCTACCACAAATTCAAATAAGAAATTGCTGTCAAGAGCATAAATAGAGAAATGTGCAAGAAGAGAAGGAAAAATCGATGTATGTGGGGTGGGAGTCTTGCGTACATACGTGCTGTCGGGGTTTGGAGAAGGACGGAGTGAGGCGTGTTCTCGGAGGGAGCAGGTTCCCTCTCTTAATAGCCATGGCTTGCCCTCATCTCTTTCCACATACAGGATTTGGGAACCTGGAGCAGTGGGTGGTATCTGAGCACAGACGCCCATTAAGTCCAGCCTCGGAGAAATCTCATCTATCGCCAGAGCTGTAAGGGTTTTGAAGGTTAAGGTTGCCAGCTTAAAAATCAATCCGCTAGTTTATAAGCTGCCAACGTAAAGAGCGCAGGGCAGGCTGAAGGCGATCGGGGCAGCAGGGAGCCGGCGTGCTCCTGCGTTCAGGGGAGTTTGCAAGAGTAATCGGAGCAGCCCAAGTAGCTGGCTTTAGCACATATCTTGCTGGAGAGGATGCAAATGAAACTGGGAGGTGTTGAATCTTAGAATCTTAGTTGGAGCTCTTTTTCTTTTTTAAGAAAAAGCAATTTTCAGTGGAACTCAAAGAAGCAGCCCTGTGCCAGGGGAAGCACCTTTTGCAAGCCCCATGGAGATCCATTCGGAGATCCATTCGCACCTAGCCAAGCTGCAAGCTGCTGAGACTTGTCATTTGTCATCTGCTTTTCCACAACCTGGCTTGCTCCTGACTGGCTGTCAAGACTCAGGGTGTTCTCTGAGCACTGACAGGTACTGTCCCAGGGCCCAACAGATCGAACCCCCCACCTCCGATCCCTGGGGGAATCCCCCCCAGGCCCAAAAAGGATGCTCTGGGTTGGGGAGGTCCATCCTAAATTTCCCAGGAGATTGGGGTGTCCATTCACATCTTCCGGGTGCCGGGGTTTGGAGACCCAAGGAGGGACTTGAAGAGTGGACTGGGGCAGGAGCCTTTGGTGCTTCAAGTCTTGAACATCGCATTTGATGAAAGCTTTGCAAATCTTGATCTTAATTAGGTACCCTGTCTCTTGGTTCTTCCCGGGAATGTGTGTGAGTTGAGAGGGCTAGGGGAAATCCTTCCTTGAGAGATTATTGGAATTGGGATTTTTTTTTTTTTTTTTTAAGAACAAATCAATTTTTTTATAGTTAGACTCAGAAATGGGTGGTGATCATGCCCACGAGGCAGCTAGTGCTTTTGCATTTAGCTTGGGATGTGAGGTTTGCACGGCAGATAGGAAGTGGCCAGTGTTTGATGAAGTTAAAAAGATAGAGTTGTCCCGGTCCATGGGAACTCTATATACACAGACAGAGAGAAGGACTGTTGGAGAAATAAGAGCATAAAGTCATATAATTAAAGGCTTATTCAAAAAATCATATGCGCAAGGGAACTGAGCTGCTCTTGCAAAGCCCATGTTCACGATGGCATATTTTGCTGCGAGTGCCTGACTCGGTGAGCTCAACCGAATTCCTTCAGCGTGGGGTTTGTACATGGTGAACATGTAAATATTTGTAATTAAAGCGTCCTAATGGGGTTTTATTTAAAACAGATGATGGAGAGAAAATGAAGATCCAGCTGGATTAGTGGTTTGCAGTGGCTCAGCGCAGGATCCTGGGGCACCAGGCTCTGGCAGGGCAGCGGTGATGGCAGATGGCTCGTGGAGCAGAAGTGGGGACCCAGCCGCAGCCTTTGGCACCAGCAAAGTGGTTGGGGAAGGACCTCTCTGGGCGGAAGCTTTTGGTCGCTTTCTCAAATGAAGTGCTTTCTGAACAGGATGCTTACGCTTGTCAACAGACCGTGCCCTGAAGCCTGGAGCATATCGTGCCTATGGTTTAGCATAAGTGCTGTCCTGACCTAGAAATGGGGCTATATGAAGTGAGTTGTGGTGTGGGAGCATCTGGATGAGGAAAATGCCTTTTTTTCCTGTTTCTATGAATTAAGCAATGTTCTTGTCACCTGGTGGCAGCTTCTGGTTTAGCTCTGGGAAGTCTGATGGTGTTAATTTGCTCTTTTCCCCCTCGTCCCTTCTCTGCAGCAGCAGCAGGAGATGCTGGCCATGAAGCATCAGCAGGAGCTGTTGGAGCACCAGAGGAAGTTGGAGCAGCACCGCCAGGAGCAGGAGCTGGAGAAGCAGCACCGAGAACAGAAACTTCAGCAGCTAAAAAACAAAGAGAAAGGAAAAGAGAGTAAGTAGCAAAAGCTCACTTTATTTCAGTGATGACAGGTAGAGCAGATGAGCCATAAAGCAGCTTTATAAAGCTGGAGAAACCTTCATGATAGCCTCTCTACAGAGCTCGGCTGTGCGGGGAGCTTATGTAAACTGTTAGGAGGTATTGAGGGTAAGAGAGAAATGTATTTCTATGCTTGATCTTCATTTTTGTCTTACTAAATGCCATTTTAGCGTTTTTCAAAAGGAAGCGTATCGTCTCTTTACTTGATTTAACATTTCTTGAAGTATTTTTGGCAGCATTCCTAATGGAGGCAGAATATTAAGCCCATAAAATACACCAGATGCGCACTGCATTTCTTTTTCTTTTACTTTTCTTAATTTCACTCTTTTAAGATGTAGCCGAGTTCTCAGTTCTTAGCTTTAAAGTGTTTTCATTCAGAAAGTACTTCTTTCATGAGGTTACAGATTGTGGCTGGCTTTCCCATGTGTCATTATGCACTTCACAAGATTCAGTAAAATGATTATGGCCTCACAATTTCCCTTATCAAAGACACTTTGGTTGCTTGTTCGGTTTTCTTTTAGAAGTGAATGGGAGGAAAATACCTCGCCAAGTTGTACTATCAACTCGTTAGGTCTTCATTTCAAATGAAATAAAGAAGCCTGTGATGGAAGAAGCAAAGAGGGCTGTAAGGTACCAGGAGATGAAATGCTGTCTGGGGACTGGGGACAAGATAAAGCTCCAAGAATAATTTTTCTAATAAGAAAGGACTGGGATCTAGGAGACTAAAAAAAAAAATTATCTGAAGGTTGAATTCCCCACTCCCTACATGTGCATCTTGCAACGACAGACTTCAAACTGCAACCAACACAAGGGAACGCACAGACCTACCCCAATATCTTCCAGAGTGGTTCCTAGGAGGTGCAACGTGTCTCCGTGTGTTTGGGTTGGGTTTCATTCGTTTTAAATACTAGAAAGACCAAAGGATCAGAATCTACTTAAAAGAAGCAGTTTAACGTGCAGGAATGAGTAAAGGTGATGATAATGTAGGTTTGCTACTCTGGTGCCCGGTTGGCTGCCACGTGTGATCTTTCTGTTTTCCTCTGGCTCCTTTGTGTTATTTTTCCAAAGTAAAGGAGGTCGGTTCAAAGTGGATGAAAGCTACAAGCATTTCTCCTTCACCCTGCTGTTCTCATCAGCTGTTGATGTGGTATCGGTGTTTTTCTGGGCCTCTCTGCAAAATTGATATCTAGCTATTCTCATTAAAGTAATTTGCAAATAAATAAAAATGCCAGAATTTCTGTAAAATGGCAAAAGCCTCAAAACTCCTTTTGGATGCAACATATAGGTGTAGAGGAAAAAAACAGAATTTGGGGCTGTTAAGTTGAAGATCCTGTTCCCATGGCTACAGTTTTATTTTTAAATTACTTTTTATTTAAGAAGTACTATGGTGTATGATCATTATAGCACCTCAGCTCTTAAGAATACTTAAGTTATTTTTTTCACATCAGAAAATTTTGCGAAGCACAACACAGCTAAAATTGTCCTGATCTGAAATACGAAGAGTGCATAATAGATGTAGAGTATAGTTTGTTCTCCCTCCTTCCTCCATCACGGTAAGCCAAACTGTATTGTTTTGTGCCTTTTAAAAGGCACATCACAAATCGGTTTACATTAACATAATATCAGCTCCTTGCGTTCTCATCTTGGCAGCCTTAACCTGTCCCTCATGAACTGATATCTGCTAGCATAAAGCTTTTGATCAAAAGCATGACTTCCACAAAAGGAAAGAAAATGTATATGAAAGTAAAGGTGGGTTTTGCACAGGATAAGGAGCGATAGTTGGTCGTCCTGTCTTTCCACTCCTAGAACTGGTCCCGTGCATCGGTGTTTCCAGACACTTCTGGGCATGGACCATTCAGTCCCTTGCTGCTCAGGCAGCCTTGGACCGTGGCTTCTCTTGGACTGTCTCTGAGAAGTTGGCCAACCGTGCCCAGCCCACACCATCATTAAAGGCTTTCTTCTCCCATTGATTTCCATTTGTTCTGCTCCTCTGCTCTTGCGTTGTGCAACCTCCGCATTCTGCGAGAGCCCGGTCCTACTTCTGCCCTCCCTCATTCTTTTCCCACTACTCCTGCCTTATCCTATATTTGGATACTATTTGATCCTGGGACAATATGTAACTTGGTTTTATCTCGGCGGTAGTAACCTGACTCAGCCTTTTGAGCCTTTAGAGCCATCCTGTCTGCAGTACTTTGCTCGTTGTGGCTCTTTCCTGTTTGCAGTCTTATCAGTTCATCTGCTCTTTGCTCCCTGCTCCTCTTAAACACTCAGGCCCTCCAAAATGAATAGACCAGTTTCACAGCTTGGTTTTCCTCACCGTACGTAGCTGCTCCCCCAGCCAGGGCTGCTGCCTGGGCTCTTGCTCTCCACTTTCTTCTCTCTCATCCTACTTTTACTCTGCCGTGCCTTTTTCTTCCATTGGGGTCGAGTGTCTTACTTCCTGCCTACGGACTTACTCCCTACGTATGGGCTTTCGGTGTCTGATTGCTTGTCCTCTTTGCGTATAGCCCTGCATGGTATATACTATCGCGTATGTGACAGGTTGTCCCTTTCTGCCTTTGGAGTCCTCTTTAACATCTTTACTGGATGCTTCTGCCTGTAACAACGTGACCGGGTCCAAAATAACCAGTATAGTAGATTAAAAGCGAGTTGGATTGGTTTTGGGTTTTTTCTTTTCTTTCAGCTCAAGGATCAAGAGCTGAGTAACGGTCAGAAGGTCTTGCGTGACAGCTTGGTCCATGGCTCCAGCGTTGCCCAGAGAAGGGGAAGCCTACAATTTTTATCTTGTTAAACATATATGGGGCCTTTCAGCTTCTAATTAAGGAAGAAGACATGCCAGGGGAGCTGTTGTAAACCTCAGGATCCAAAAATGTTTAGCTTCAGGTCTTCTAAAGAATGTCAGATTTATCCAAAACTGACAGAACACAGCCACGATTGATTATTTTAAAGATGCTGATAGATTAAAGATGACACTTTCTGGAGAGAGAAGGCCTTTAAGCATGAATTTGTCACCTATTCTGGTCTAGCTGTGTGGCTTGCTACAATCATTTGAATTTATCTCCAGCTCCTCAGTTGAACTTCCCGTTGGGCTGCACACCAAACCTATGTTTGTAGTGAGAAAGGCAGAGCTCCAAAAAGGTGAATTTTCAAGCTTTTGAACACAGCTTCAGTGGTTGAACAATATTACATCTTCAGGCAGCACTTTACAGAAATACTGCAGTTTTCTTCTCTTGGGGAGATACAAAAAATTGTTTCCTCAGTCTGTCAAATGGCACCACGTTGTTGAGTAGGATCCAGGAGACAAAAGATCACCCTGTCGTATTTTATGTTTTTATTCCCAGTAGAGCAGACAGTTTTCCTGGCCTTTTCATTTTCTTGTAGCCCAGATATTTTCCTTTGGAGTTCTTGCTTTACGCCACGGTATAGATGAACCGTCCTTTTCCGCATGTTCTGCTTGCCAAACTTTCTATGCATTACTCCGTCAGGAACTCTGCCTGCGAATCTGTTCTGTCAACCGAATGATAATTTTAATCCATCATCGCAGTAAAACAGACTGGTCTCTATTGTGGAGGAAATAATGATTAGAAATTACACAGTTGACATTTTAACTCTACGCTACAAAATTACTGACTTTCTTCTTTAAATGTTAGATTTTCTATTTGAAGAAGTAGATTGCACACTTGTAAATGAATTGGAATATTATGTAGGTCTTATTGTACACAGATACTTTTGAACAATGAGGTCCCTATTTACAAGAGTTTTCAAGACAAAATCTACATGCGAGACATTCGTCTCATTCCCCTTCTGCTTGCAGATGTGACATTTAAAAACTTGAGTGTATGCAAGACCTTTTTGCTTAAATATCTTTGATTAAAAGAAAGCTGGAATACCTAGTGCAAGTGCTTTATTCTAAGTGTACTTTTATGCAAGTGTAAAAATCCTCTTCAGAAATCTTTTATCGTGAAATGATAAATCTCTGAGTAAATCTCGGTTTTCAAACTTAAGTTGTGATTATATGCAAAGCTGAAAACAGAAAAAAAAAACCACAAAACAAAACAAAAAAACCCACTCCGTACTCAGGCACTTTATTCTTTTCTCTTTGAAAGAAAAGTTTGTCTTTTGAACCGGAAACCACAGATTTAAGTCTGAATCTTTTTGGAAATTTAAATTCTTTAAAGTATGTGAATTGATTGAATAACCTTCTTTTTTTTTTTTGATATTTCAGGTGCAGTGGCAAGCACAGAAGTAAAGATGAAATTACAAGAATTTGTCTTAAATAAGAAGAAGGCATTGGCACACCGGAATCTCAACCACTGTATATCCAGTGATCCTCGCTTCTGGTATGGGTAAGTGGTACTGGGCTTATCTTTATGATTCAGCCGGTGCCACCTTTTTTCACAATTGCTGGAGATGTGGGGAATAGACCTGATGTGTTTACTGGATGAATGAACAGTGTTAGAACCAGGATTTGACTTTGCTGTGCATTACCAAAATGCATTTTTCAGAGGATTTTGGTGTGAATAATTTTCGTATCTTCAGTGATGGTCGCAGTGTTTTTGTGAGGAGGGGTCTTTGCTGTCATCTTTAGTCCATGATTATTCAAACTCCCAAGTTCTACCATCAAGATCAACCTTTAAGTTCTCTAGCTTTTCACCCAGGGTTTCATCCTGCCAGGTGGTATAAAACTTGAACTTTAGTAAAATGGGGAAATTACTTTTTACGTTTAGTGAATTGCAACTCAGGATAGTTGAGCCGGTGTTACATTTTTAAAGTCTTTAATGCTTACTGCTCATCTTGATCTCTCAAAGTTGGAAGTTTTGTTTACTTGGGTCTTCTCCATAAACTGCTGGAAACATCAAGTACGTACCATCCGCACTTCTAATCACAATTGCCCCATCATCTACATTTTCAACTGAAAATTTTCAACTGTTGGTCTCCAAGAAAATGCAAATGTCATGTGGGTTGAGAAGGTAGCAGCTGATGTTATAGTGACACGGGAATGAAGAGTGACTTCTCCAATTATTTCAAATGCACCAGGTACAAGTTCCAGTTCCAAAAATTTGCTTCTTCGTTGTGTAAAAGAAAATCAGAAAAGTTGAGACAGTTTGAAAACTTCCACTACTATAACATTGTGAATATCTATATTCGGGGGAAAAAAAAAAAAAGTGTTTTGGATGTTGTCTTCAGTGACCATAAAATTAATTGCCATGAAATTTCTGTTCAAGCTGAGTGCCTGGCAGTATTTTAAGTCTTAAGAAATTAACATGTATATGGGGATGATGAGGTCATAGCCAGAAGATGTTTCCAAATTCAAGAATCTGAGCTGAAATTAAATTTGAAAGACAGCCCAGCTATGAGCCACTACAGAAATGCTGAAGTGTAGTTGGCAGAAAAATTCGAACATTATTCCAGTAGGGTGAGATTGAGCAGTTTTAATACATCTCTGAAAATCTAATCTGAGACTTGAAAATTGTATGGTTATGGCACTGGTTAAAGTAGTGAAATGTCGTTAGTTTATGCAAAGATAAGATTTGAGGCCCACTAGGTCAGTATCAAGGGTACTAGAAGAAATAGGAGAAACTGCATTTCAGTCAAGACAACATAAATATCTTTTTTAGAGAACTGATTTTCCACTGCTCTTAATTGAAACTCACCAAGAAATTTGGGGATTTTATTAAAGGCAGTTGAAGACTCTGAGCCTCTGTGTTCTCCATTTTTTTCCCAGTTGGTTAAAATACCTGTTAATGCAACAGTGGCATAAAGTCAATTGGAATTAAGGATAGTAAAAAAGTGCTTTCTTCCAAACCCTTTGATCTTTTGGCCCTAGAGAAACCTGGCAGAGAATTGCCATTGTAGATGAATTTAGAAAAGAGAAAAATAAATTTGAGCGTGGTCTGAAGTCCTTATGTTTTGCACAATTTTCAATTGACTGTTTTTTCACCGAGAATCCCGCATTCGGAGATGAATCGAAGAGCAGCGGTCTGTAACACCCCTATATGTTACAGGGCCAGGGGTGGTGCTGGACGTTATTTAGCCAAGCCGTGTTTAAGGTTTCAGTATGTTCCTTTCCTTGCTTTAAACTAATGCTGAGATTTTTCCGAGCACCAATATATTGTTTAGGTTTATTGTGGCATACTTAAGCAAAACATCCCTTTCCTGTGATGGTCCAGGGATGCCAACAGGTAGACACCGTACAAACTGCTGCACAAGGGACCGTCCTTTTTCTTATGGATTTAGCGGGCTTGCCGTCCCCTCATCTTCCCTCCATCTGTTGTGCGCTGGGGAGAGGATCGGTATGCTGGTTTCTGACACAAGATGCGAAGAGGGAAGAAAGAGCCTCAGAAGCCTCACAAATCTTTCTAAGGGTCTGTCTCGGTGATAAGTTGCAGGCAGGCATGAGCTCGTTCTGCTCAGCCTTGGAGGAGGGCAGATGGCAGCAGGGCTGCGTGACTGTAGTGTCTTATCTTGCGGTGGAGGATTTTTTTTTTAAACGCACCCTTCGGTTGTTAAGGCAGAAGTTGAAGGTTTTTCATTTCCATTCTATTTAAAAAAATCTTTTTTTTGAAAAAAAAAGAAGAGAAAACCTTTAAATTAATTACATACTAGTATTTATTTATGATGGCATCTCATAGGTTACCACTTCAGTTATAGAGATATTTATGTAGGCACATACTTCTAACGTGATTCAGTTGGGTGGTGTTTGGATTTAACACACGCAAATGAGGCTTGCAGTAGATGGGCTTGATGCTCCTACTGTGAACAGGCGAGCCAATTAAGTGGTAACAGATGCTGAAATAGTCTTTTAAATTACACGCCTACTTTTAAGCACTTCCTTTGGTCTTATTAAGGTTTGTGAGTTCCTTTTTTAAAAAAATTGAAAGCGTTACTTGGAAAAAAACTAGATCTCCTAAGAGTATTGAACATTACAGCGGTTCTACGTCCACGGCTGTGACATGGAATATGTTCCGTTGACATGTGAAATAGCTGTCGTTCCCCTGGCCCTTTGGGCCAGGCCTTGGTTGTCTGCTGAGATGTCCAGATGCTTTTGCCTTCGTATCTTGTATCTGTTTGAACTTCATTCAACGCTCTTGGTTGCTGGTGCAGCATCGAGAGTTTATAGTTAGTATTTTCTAATTAATCACTGATGTTAAAGGGCATTGTTGCATGGGTGGATCAACCCTTGAGATGAAAAGGGACCAGTTGTAGAGGTTTGGGAGAATATATTCTTAGTCCAAAGGATCTACTAAATGAAAGAAAGGAACTTAGTAATGCTCATTAATGTTTCTTGGGGGCTTTCACAGAGGTCTTGCTCGATCTTCAGCTCTGTGGTACTCAAGCCACTTTGTAAACCCTGTTTCATAGATACAGCTCCAGTCTATATGTAATTGTTTAAAATAGCCTTGTGGGCTATAATTTTCACATTACGTTGATGATAGGCAACACGAGAAGAGGGTTTTTTGAATGTCATTGTCAGACTGTCCCTCCCGTGGATTCTGAACCCACTGGACAGCCCTGCTCCCAGGAGGTTTTCGCTCTTCGATATACTTAACGTAAGTAAGAGTGGCTTAGCAGGAACACAGACAGGGCACCTTGGGCTTAGCAAACGGGGCTATTATTTCCCTAGGAAGTTGTCAGAAATGCGCTTAGGAAGTAGCCACTCAATGCGGTAGCAATCATTGAAGGGAGTTTAACTGAGCATTTGCATGGTAAGGAGGTAGAGATAATTTTATGTTAAATTGTTCCAAGGTACATAGGTGTCTGCAGTCTCTGTACACAAAACATTCTAGCACAGATACATATGTTTAAATATATGTTCGATTTACGTTGCATGAATATGTTTGACGTACCATGCGTGCTCTGCTGCGCGCCTGGGTTTTTGAAGGACCTCAGAGCTCAAAGAACAGGGAGTGCGTTATGTGAAGGTATGTGCTTTCGGGAATGCCTGCAAACGCGATTTAGTATACAATTTCATCTCTTTCAAGACCTCTGAAATTCTTGAACGGACATGCAGAGCAGTGCATTTTGCTCGAAGCAGCGTAGGGTGTTGGATCCCGGTCCTGGAGCCATATAATGTATTCCTGTTTGCAGAGTTAAATATCTGTCATTCAGCAACCCCGAAGCACATCTAAACAGGCCCTTTGAGTTCCTGCGCATTCCCTAACAAAGCGATGAAAATAGCTTCAATGTACACGATTGTGCAGCTTAAGTCATGATTTAAAAAAAAAAAAAAAATAAAAAAAGGAGAAAGAAAAGTCTATTGCTTGTATAGGCAAGAGAAAAAAAAAAAAAAGTCATTGTGTGAGATGATGGGTTTGAGGGCTCTTGGCTTGCAGCATCCAGGCTTCCTGTTTGTGAAACATCTCTCTGTGCTGCCTTCCCATGGTATGAGCAGATCCGGGCAGAGAAAGCGACTTCTGTTTTCGAGAGGGATTCAAATATTTTTCAGTTTGGTTCTGTTTTGATTTCAGGTGATGATTAAACTGTGCATGCATGTGGGCATTTATTGGTGCGAATGTAAAAGAGTACACGATGTGCACGAATGCTAATGAGAAATACAACTGTGTAAGAGCCCGAAAAAATGATTCTGCCTGTATGGACAGAGAAGTTTGGAATATAAAGGGGGGAGGATTAGGAAACCGCAGTGAATCGTACTGCTTGGTGAGAACTGTGGGTATAGAAAATTTTGATGTAGATGTTCAAATAAACTTTTCAGAGGTTTTTTTTTGGTAACAAAATCCTATAGAAAATTTGATGTGTTTTCCTGATGTTTCATTAGCCCCTTATTTTTTGAAGGGTGTAACTTGTAGTGGAATGGATGCTATGCGTCTCACCAAACAGCCTACTTCTGATTTGAGCTTTCAAAGCGTACTGCTCAAGGAATTGGATGAATTGGTGTAGTTTTCAACTGGGAATGGCTCATTTTGGTTCCTTAAAGAACCTTTTGTAGGAGAATATTTTTAACCAAGATCTCCAAGAATGCCTGGTTATTAGGCAATGTGAAATTTCAAATACTCACTTCTTTTGACAAAGTGCTCACTTTCTGTTGTCTCATATTCTTTAGTATTTTGAAGAAGTAATACAGGGTTTAAATTCTGTTTATTTAAACTTAAAACGTAGGAGTGTTTGATAGCTGTATGGCTGAATCAGTCTTTCTGTTGATGTAGCTACTCTGCTAACATGCACAGTCTGGAGACTTCCTGAAGTCTGGAATGATCGGGGTTGGTAGAGCTCCTGAGAAAAAGCAAAGCTGGGCACAAGTCATTAAGTAGGAAAGATGCAGCCAACAAATTGGTAGGAGGCTTAGAAAATTCATTCATTATTTAATATCCTTAGGAAACAGACTGTAATTTACTTCCAGCAGCCTGCTCAAACAAAACTATAAATTATCAGCGTCGAGATGTTAATCTGGAAAGGTGTTGAGTACTTTGGCCCTATCTCTGCAAAGTACCTGGGTCGGGAGGCAGCGAAGCTGAAGGCAGAAGACCACCTATGCGGCATGGCTGCTGTTAGCCAATTTAAACCTGTGGCACCTAATGTGCTTATCCTTCGGTTCTGGTTCATCCTTAGACTTTGTCTACAATGTACAGGTTTTATTCAGTGAAGGGAAATTGTTCGTTCGTGCTATGGTTGGGGGAAGTAACACCACCCGTGCTTAGCTTCAAGAATATGACTTAGCAAAACCCAGCGCGAGTACACGCTTAAAATTATACTCGTGGTTAAATATCTTCACGAGTTGAGCCATGCTCAACAGGGTAATTCTTATATTGAGAATGAAGCCTATGTTTGGTTACCTGCCTGTATATCAGACTTTAGGGTCTTTTTTGTGTGAGTGCCTAGAAGGAGAAAACTAGTACCAAGATCTGTTCCTTTGCACTATTCCCCACTAACTTAAGATAACAGACAAGGTGAAGCTGCACTTCTTCCCTTTGTGTGTCACTGGTGTAAAGCTTCTCCTTTCTCTTTCTCTTTCCTTCTGTGCAGGAAGACACAGCACAGCTCTCTGGACCAGAGCTCCCCACCCCAAAGTGGCGTATCCGGCACCTACAATCACCCTGTACTGGGGATGTATGATTCCAAAGATGACTTCCCACTCAGAAAAACAGGTAGCGCTCACGTTGATTTTCTGTGTTGCCTACTATCTTCGTTGTGACACTTGGTCCTCTTTTTTTTTGTTTTTTCTTTAAAAAAAAAAAAAAGGTATGTTACCGAAAAACTGGATTTCGTGGGGCGATTTATTTAACAAGCACCCGCTCCATCCTGCTCCCCCTTCACCTCTCACTGTACGCGCAGTGTTAGAGGGAGGCTGGAGTTGCTTTGGGTGTGCGAACTTGCAGAGCTGCAGGCAGGAGACAGCGGAGTTGTGTGTCAAAGTTTGTGAGATGTTTTCACAAAGTCAAAGCTAATACAGAGATCTGGGTGTCTGAAGTCAAAGTATGTTTTGCCGAGTGAGAAAAGTACCGAGAAAAGTTCATTTCTTCTGGGATTTGCATTTTATATACAAGTTTACACTTAAAATAAATAAAAATGTTTCTGCCAGTCAAAGCGTCGGGACTTCCTGCAAGGGTTTTGGTTCACACCTAGACAGTTATTTCTCAGTTAGGTTTTTCCCTGCACAGTGGCTAAGCAGGTCAGTTATTTCTCAACTATATATTATGTAAACCAGGTTGTTTGGGTTGGCTGTGGTCCTCAGCTCCGTATCGCATGCCTAAGCCAACACGGCCTCAGCATCTCACCTGGCCAGCTCGTGATCCTTGGCCGCTTCCTTCGGGGAATAGCTGAGCTTCGATGAGCTCGTCCTGATTTGGGGAGCAATGCTGCTGGCGTGGATGGTGCAGACAGTGCCGTGTGTTGGAAATCACTTCAGAACAGGAAAAAAACCTTTTCTGAAAAGCTGGAGTGGAGGTAAGAGGAAAGCAGGGGTGTGATTGAACTGCGCACCTTCTGCAGGTGCTGGCTAGCTGTTTCTCAGGTATGCTTTGTGGATCTTCAAACACGGAGGGATGAACACCAGTAGTCAAAAAGTGTGTCGTCCTTGCGCTAAGGAATGGTGACGGTGCATAACCGAATCTCCCTGTGGATTTACTACAGTCTTTGCTCAAACTGGCTGTCCTAAATCAGTTCGCAAGAGCTGGCAACCCCTCCTTTTCCTTCTGGGAGGGATGTAGGTGTTCTCATGGCGCTTCTAATAGTTAGAAGTAGATCAGGTCTTAGGTGCAATGAATAGTTTAACACAATTCTTGTCACCTGGGGTTTTTTACCTTGTTGCTTGGGATTTTTTCTTCTTTCGCCATCTGACAAAAAAAAAATACACCTCCGCACTGCTGCCTTGTGCCTCCTGCCTCCCAGTTCTGCGCATTAAAAGACCTTTTTGGGAACTTCTTGTTCTGGACCATAGCCCCTGGCCTGCTGGATAGATCTGTGGATGGATTCCCATCTGCTGTGCAGTAGACTGTCTTCCCCCTCACCAGGCCGGATGGGTTGGGTGACAAGTGCCAAACACTTCAGCTTGCACAAGAAGTCAAATCAAAAATTGGCGTGCCCTCTCCAGGATATGAGTTTTTTCCTGGGCACACCCTGTACCTTTGGCGGTGGTGGTTTTGACTGTACCCTTTCTGGAAGACTCCAAAAGCAGAGCTTAGAAAACTGGATTTGCTGAAGGGTTAGGCATCCTCTACTCTCCGCTTCTAGATAACGAAAGCCCAAGGCTTTCAGGTTCCTCTGGGAAACCGCAGCAGTTCCGTGCAGGGAAGCATCTCTTGGCACCATACCTGTTGCTTAGGGCCTGTGGACAGCGTGATTCCAAGAGATTTTTAGCTCTTTCCTATACCTTGTGAAAGCACATGATCCGTTTCTGGTGTGGTAGCATTCCCGCTGCGTAAATGGGCTTTGACATGATCCAAAACCTCCCTTGCTCGTCACTTCAGGGGACCTTACTTGTCAGATGGGATTTGGGGATCGGTCACCCTTCTTGCTCCCGGTGTTACGGAAGGGCATTTCTGCAGGAGAAGGAAAGCGTCTGCACATCTCAGCCCTTTGCTGCTTCCCAAACGGAGTTGTCAGTAAGACTCCGGCTGAATATAAACCCTGTCAGACAGGGTGAATTAAGGATGATAAATGTATCTAATCACATTATTTAAAATGGAAGCAACCAAAATCATTGTAGTTTTAAAACAGGAAGATGTTGAACTGATTTTGTTTTTCCGGAATGCTGATGCTTGTTCTTTTTGGGCACCAGCATTAATCTTTTGGGAACTGGTCTGTGATACAAACGAGTTCACTTGCAAGGTTGAGGGGAGAATTTTTTTTTGTTATTTTCTTTTATTTTTCCTTTCAACGCAACAGCACGTCAGTCTCTGGCGCAGCAATATCCTGCAGAAATCCCGTTGCCAAGAATGTTAAGTTGCTTGGAGAAGAAAAGCTCCTGAACAGTCTGGTGTAAACAAAAGACAGGGAATGCTGGAGCCCATCCTAAATAAAGTTCTTTATTATGGGTGAGCTTTTCAGATTTTTGGCACCAGGCAAAATTCTGGCTTTGTGTTTGTAATTTAAAACCGCCATATCGTGTAGTCCAATTTTATTAAATTTGATTAAATATTTGCAGTTCAAATAACAAAGTCCATCACAATACAGTTCTGATTACCAGGGCTGGAATCCGACCAACATCATCGTTAGGGATAGGGTGACTTAGGGGGCTGTGGGAAGGCAATTTTGAATGAACATTTCTTACAGGCTACGTTTTCAGAGCTGACAGCGTGCCTTGCACGTTGAGAAATTTTTAGAAAGGATAAATACGTCATTGCGCTGAGTTTTAAAAATACTACCTTTCTTTACTTTTATTTAAAGCAGCATGATGTGGTCACAGGTTATCCCTTTGTGCACACTTGGGAGAAGGAGATGTGTGCATGAACGATGTCTTAAGAGCGCTTGAAAACGTTCAGCGTGGGAAACAGTCAACGCTTGTGACGCGCTCCTAATGCATCCTGTCCCCTGAAATCCTATCCTGTCTATTTGTTTTACTAAATTACGTTCCAGTTTCTTGGCCATTTGGTTTCTGCGTGAAATTGTTTTCCTGTCAGGCTGCTGGCTGGTGCAGTCACTAATTGCTTGAATCCTGTTCTTAGCCTGGCTGGGGGATGCATTTCACTCCGTTCCCTCTGTCTAAACACTTTGGAGCTCTTGAATTATTTTAACTGAACTAAGAACAGTTCGGTTGGTGCTGCTCATGCTTTTGCTGTTAAATAAGTGGATTAGCAGAAGGAATTTTCTTTCCCCTTTTGTGTAGTTTATTATATATGCATTTCCTTTAGTGTACGCATTTTATCGACGGCTGTTGAGAGGGGAAAATATAAGTGACCTTTTCTGCCCCAAGATCGAGGTTAGTGTCTTCTAAATTTAAAGAGGCTGCATTATGTGCTGTGCTGGGGCCCTCTAAGAAAAAAAAAATCTCTGGAGAATCCTTTCAGAGTGATTTTAGAAGTCTGGGTTGGGGCAGTCTTTTGTAGCCCATTTTGAAAACCCCAAGAATTGTTTTTGTCAACAGCTTTCTTGGAGCTGTTGAAGTTATTTTTAACATAGCTTTTCAGTTTTGCATTTCTAAGGAATATGGTGTCCTCATTTTCTCCTCAGGAATGAGGTTGTTAATGGTGTTCCCGCTTTCTGAAATGTGAGCAGTGGACGTATTAAAACACGCTGTTAATTAGAAAGCTGACACGTCCACCATCATTGAGATTTGTAAGGAGAGAATTATTTAACTCTTTAACATCCTTTTCCTCTTGCTTACCTAGGGTTTTTTGTTTGGTTTTGGGTGTTTTTACATCCTGTGCAGGCTGGACGGTGTCCCGTCGGACACTAGTTTTCCCACTTACTCCTCCACAGAGGTGGGATAAGGATTCCTCGTTTTCGTTGGGATCTGACAGCTAATCAGGATTTCTAATGAAAACCACAGCATTTCGATTAGTTGTCATTAAGAGAAGTTTTGCCAAACTCAGCACCTGCTAGACTTGCTTGGCCAACACACGTTCAGCTCACTGGGATGCTTGAACTGGAAACAGTATCTATATTCCCTGTATCTATATTTAAACCTGATCCCAAAGTGCGAAAAACAGCTCATTTCTTTTGAAGTACTCATAAAAGATGTTCTCCAAAGTCATAAGTGAAAAACTGGCTGCGACCGTAGGACCCGTGTGGGTTGTGAAGCAGGCTGAGATCTCGTCACGGTTTTGCTCCTGCTGTTGGACAAAGCAAACCTTTCCCAAGACGGCTTCCCTCTTTCAACCCTCCTCGTGCCCGCGCGGGAGGGATCTGTGCCTTTGCTGCTGCTTAATTCCCCTGCCCTGAGCTGGCTGCTGATCTTTAAACCTTTCTCCTGACACATCTGTCAGCGGAGGTGGGATTTTTGACAAAGCTGATGGTACCCAAAATGAGCTATTGTTTCATTTTGTCCTTTTTCATTTGTGTTTCTTGACCCTCCGGTGTTTGCCAAAGCGTTGTGGTTCATTGCGCACAAGAAGACCTCCTGCATCCGTCAAGAGCAACGGGTGGCTGGGCTTTTGGTGTCTTTGGCTCGGTTCCTGGGGCTACTTGGCTCACGACAGCTGCAGCCACGGCCGCTGTTTTGTGAAACACTGCTGAGGCTCTGGGTCCTGGCTTTTGCTTTACCTCCAGTATCACAGCTGGCTGCACTGGGGAGGTAAAGACCAGAAGGACGTTGATGGACATGAAGATTTTAAGGAGGCGAAGGATTCCTGTGGTCCCAAATATGTTTTTACTGCAGAGCTGTGGGATAGCATCTCAGGGTGTGAGTTTCCACTATTTCCAAAGCTAGACTGAATTGAATGCCAGACTGGGAGCTTACAAAGACATCTTTGGCAAGTATATGTCCCTGAACTTCCTGCCTAGATAGTAAATGAGCGTGTGCGTGCGTGTGGTATGTGGTTGGAGAGAAAAGACAAGTAGAAAGTGTCACAGACCCTTCTTTCAGCTCCTTTTCTCTGGGGATCGGGGAAGAACAAGTATCCTACCCGAAAACCTCCCATCCCAGCAGTGTCTCTTACCTTCTGCACAAGTCACGACAGAAGAAGGAGAACTGGTTATGGGTCAAGTA